TGAAGCAACGTTTCCGGAAGTATCCATAAAATTACATATTTTACATGCTTCGCTCGCTTTAAGTTTGCGGCTTTAGACTACACGCCTGCGACCTGAGTTTAGTCCAAATATTATTGTTTTGCCCCTGCACCCTATGCTCCAATAACATAGCTGTAAAACCATAAAACACTTTCGTCCTCTTCTTCACAAAAAAATATGAAAACAGAAAATGAAATAAGCAAGTTGCATCCGAAAACAAATTCCATAAAACTTTGCCCAATTTCTTAAAAAAATAAAAATAAGCTAAAGAAAAAAAAAAAAAAACGAACGCATCAAAAAACTTTTGTTTCACATGAAATACTCCCTGAACACCCTCCCACCAACCCCTCCCCCTCCACCACTCCAAAGCCGTGCACAGGTTAAGCTTATATTGTTCGTTCTGGATGAGTCATGCTCGAGTCCATTGTGGAGCAATCGTGTTGCTTTAGCTTCGCATCCATTGTTATGTCCGACGCTTCAATGGGGCTCAATTGAACGGCCTGCCATAACCAATCATAGCTGCCAAACACCAGTGACTTCGCCCCTCCCACTCCCTTGTCGCCCAACCGCCCCTGCCCCACCACTCTTCACTTCGTCCATAGCTCGCTGCGTGAGCTGAGCGTGCTCATAAGTAGGCAATGGAAAGTGTTTCGTTTCTTTGTCCTTGAGACGGCATTTGGCTAAGTCACATAATCCAGAGATGCCCCATGCCCACGGCTGAAAACACACAGAGTCGCGGCCACATTTACCTGCATGCTACTTAACCTCGCAACGTACACAGAGAGGGAGAGCGACAAAGCGAGATAGAGAGAGAGAGATATATATATATAGAGGGGGGGTGGAGAGGAGAGGGAGAGATACCATGGGTGTCAGCCACTGACATTGGCGGCAAGTAGCTTAAATCCTTTACATTATCCCTTACGTTATCCCACATGTAACTGTTTCTAAGCGTGCCTAAGAACAACGTCTATCCAACACACTTAGTGTGTGTTTATGTTTGTGTGTGTGTGTGTGTCAGGCTGAGGGCGCGTATTCGATTTGCTTGAACCAAATTTTCTGGCAATTTAAGAGCAAATTTCCCTTAAATGAAGAGCAACAACTGGAAATGTCCTGGAAGTTGGGCAATTGCTTTGCGCCGACAGCACAATGCGCTGTAATTCAGCATGATAAGCATGAAGAAATCATTTTTGCTTTTTAAATATTAAATTTATCAAATACAATTAAAAAAGAAAAGATAATAGTAGTAATAATTGAAAATGTCCCTTTTAAAAATAAGTTACTTAATCTACATTTCTAGTCAATTTACAAACATAAAAAATTGATACTAAGGTTAAATAAATTAAATAAATTGTATAACTTAATTTTAATTTTTGTAATTTTCTTTTAAGCACATCATCATCATCAGGTAGTAAATGCCGTCTTGAAGCTCAGCAAACTGAATTGAACAGGCGAATACATATGCCGTTTATGGTCATCGCCTACACTACATTTCCAGCACTGGAAGGCGAGAGAGCGCACAGAGTGAATTGCCCAGCACACAAATTGCGATTCAAAATAGAGTTTACCGTTACTAACGGTGTTATGGTGTTTCAGATTTAGCCAAATGTCGGACTCTAACCGACAACAACATTGAATCATTCGGCTAATTCAATTAAATGCGAAAACTGTTCAATTTTTTGCAATTCGATATGCGGACAGACTTGTCAGCTCATCAGTTTGCCAGCTCATCAGTTAGTCAGCTTATCAGTTTGTCAGCTTGTCAGTTAGCCAGCTCGTCCAGAGTTGCAACTAATTGAATGTGAAGCAGTGCGTTAGTGGAACCAGTTAGCTACCCAAGGGTATTACCGTTGCTGGCGTAGCCTTGCAATGGAGCTCGAGTTTCGACAATGTGATTAATTGTGCATTTGCAGGTTTATGGACGAGCTGCGTTGTTGCAACTGTTGCATGCACATTGCATAGTGGACGACGCACACCTGTGTGCCCTGCTGTGTGCTCTATGAATAATGCACATTGAGGTTAGGTTCAAATTAAGTTAAGTTAGTTTCGGATTCCCAACTCAACGCTGCGCATAAATTGCAGGTTTTTCACATTTTGCATGAAATGTTATTGCTCTCATTAAATTCTTCTGCATTATGAACAAAGGTATGCAAGGACACCTCAGTTCGTAACCGAGGCAAATGCCAGAGCTGGTATGCCATGCCAGCAATTTCTTTGAATCCAGAATATTACCCATTCCCTGAAAACGAACGCTCTAATTAGACGACCAAGTTATCACAAACAGTTACGAGTTTCATCACTCACAGCGTTGTTGGCCAACAAAATGCCACGGCAACTGCAACTGCAACTGCATAGCAACTGCAACTGCGCTAAATAGCAACGGAAAACAATGTAAAAGTCGAGCGACAAAATCATATGTGACTTTAAGCCGACATCAGAGTATGCGACTTCTTTAGATACTCTGTAAAGGCAGAAAAGACATTAAAGCTTGCCGAGGATATTAAAGTTCATCAGTGTTTAGCTAGAATTTCAATTACTAATTGATATGGAACTTGCTCCTCAAAGGGAACCACTCACCCGCAGCAGAACTGTCTTTATTTGTATATATGTATGTATGTATCAATATGCACGAAATGGAAAAAAATTATGATCCTAGTCGGATATACTCGCATGCTCATGCAACTGATTGAGGAAAACTGATTATAGAGAGTAAAATGAAAAACACGCGGGCCGCGGCACAACTGAAACTCAATTTGATTTCGCTGGGTTTTCCTTTTAATCCAGCATATGCACACATGCGCACACATGCACACCCGCACACTCATGCACACTCTACATATGTATTGTTGCGCGTTTAATTGAAACTTTTAGTGGATGAGTCTTTTCACAGTAGCTTAAATTTTTGGCACTTCGATACAGCCAGAGCCTAATTACAAGCTATCTCCGTCTCGCTTTCGCACTTGTTGAGCTGTCTGGGTAATATTTTTGGCTGAGCAACTGCAAGCGCAAACAAAGAGCGAGCGAAGATGGCAGAGGGGGAGCGTGAAAGGAGAGAGAGAGATAGAGAAGATGGAGAGCCATGCAGACAAAGTACTTAAATAAGCAGCGTCATTTATAACAGCAACTGCAACAGTTTAACTGTTTATGTTCTCTCTTACACGAACTCTCCAACTGCCCAGTTCACAGTGGTATAAGAAGCAAGCATATGTGACATAATTAAACAACTTAGAAAGTGAGGCTAATTTTTCTTCTTTATGTTAATTTGTGCAGTAAGTGTAAAAATACAAATAAATAATATATTTGAACATAAATAAATAAATAAATAATAAATAAAATTATGCAGTATACATTTTGTATATATTAATCGTGAATCTTTTTTAAAGGAAGATACACCATCCCATAGTGCAATGCTTAAGTTCTCTGCCGAAAGTTTACTTCCCTAAATAATATTCAGCTTGTTACCATAACGATGTTAAGATTTTGTTTGTTTGTAAATGCAATAAGTGTGCAAAAGATTGTTAACGAACAATGAGCCAAAATGAATCAGTAGTAAAGCATAAAAGAAAAACGATAGCTTATGTGGGCAGAGGAACCGATAATGCGACTCAAATGAACCAGGGAAAAGGCTTGCATTTTGTGAACGAAGCCAGCGATTCTGCAACTGAACGAGTGAACAACTCAACTAGCTCCTTTAATAGAACTGCCATGGACAACTAATGTAGCATACTCTTTTGGGCCAAGTTCAAGGCATGCCTGTCTGTTTCATGGACAACTGATTGTATCTGCTCAAATGAGGCAGAGGCACACATATCGGCCGACAGTCTGTCTGTCTGTGTGTGTGTGAATGTGTGTAACGCAGCGCAGACATCAACAAAAAAACCTTTCAAAAATCTAGTGCGTACATTCGTTTGCTGCACACATTTCAATTTCCGCTTCATTTACGCCTTCCTTTTCATGCGTGTGCGCGTGCTTGTGTGTGTGGTGCCTGCCTCTTCACTGTGCCTCCAACCTATCTGCACTCAGCAATTCACACGCACAGCAACAGCAATACCAATACACACATACACGCCTATCTATGTATGTATGTATATTTAAACACGCTCATTCGTTCATTAAAATTGAAGAGTCTTCAGTTTGCACCTCTTGCAGCATTCAGCTTTTGCGCTGCTGAAAATAATACAACACATGCATTACATTGATATCATCTGTATGTATGTGTAGCTTTATTTGAAGGACACTTCAATAGAGTTTTGTGTGATTTCATAACATTTTCGGGATTCTAACTATATTTGCTGTCGATTATGTGGAAATCAAATCGGATGCATAAAATGCACTTTGCGGCTTGATTTGTGTTGGAAAAGTCTTTCATCTATACAAATTGATATAAACCTAGATTTTAAGCATACAAAGAAAACATTTCCATATTTTACTTTATTCAGACTCTCAGTGTAAATACATACATATATACATTTAGTACTTGCCCAAATCGACGGTTTGTAAATGCAGAATACGGAAAAAAAAATTTTTTTTGCTTTAAAAAAAAAAATGCAAAGCAACTCTTTTGTGGTTTATGTACGTGCTACAATTTATAGCAGCAAGGACACGAATCCGGCGAATTGGAAACTACACGAAAATTGCGTACTAAAAATAGGACGCACATTCAGCGAAGACAGTAACCCACACAAATAGCATAGACACAAGCCAGCCAGTATTTTAAAAAAGGAATTTAACAACTACTAGGATTTTTCAATATGAAATAATAATGGCTGGGCCAGTATAAGAGTGGAAGGGAATAAATAAGTATTTTATATAAGGGAAAAAGGGACTTAGCATAGACATAAACCAGACCGTATTTTATAAAAAGGAAGGGAATAGTAAGGGACTTAGCACCTCCGAGAGCCCTTCAATGAAGCAAATAATGCCAAAGCAAATAGATCCCCTCAGGATATTTAACAGCACAAATTCAAAAAAAAAAGCAAGCGCCGTTAACTGAACAATTGTTAAGGTATATATTTTGTTGTCGATTTTTTACTGGATTGATCGTATTATTTGACATAGTTTCGATAAAAAAAAAAACTGTAACGTTATGTAATTGCTAACAACTGACTAACGGGTTCGTTTTACTGTTAATATTCATCATTTTGATTAATCCTCATTTTCATTCTCATTCTCCTGTTTGTGTTTCGGCTGCTTACAAATAAACGCTTAATAATTAACGGTAAAGTTCTCTTAACGACTACATAAAAATCTGCATTTACAGCTATACGAACGTAAGTTGTGTGTGTGAGTGTGTAAACATACACATGTAAAAACATACAGACATACCGTACAAACATACATACATATACATATATATGCTGATGCACAGTCCTAAAATCGGCTTAAGTACACCAATTTGCTATGCCCACAGAGATTAACATAACCTCACTTAAACATATGCTTAACACTAAATGGGATGGGGAAGAGGGCTACGGTGAGGGCGCGGCAAGGGGCTAAAACTTAAAGGTAAATCATATATTTATACATTTATATATATGTGTGTGTGTGTGAATATGCTTAAGATTAACTTAAAACTAAACAAATTAAAACAAACAAAAAAAGAAAAAAAAAACATTTACATACATATATATATATATAAAAAATATGGCTTAGATGGATGGGATTTGGAATTGGACTCATGATAGGAGTTTTAAGGTTCGGGGAAGGGGGCGCGACTTTGCACTTGGTCCTTAGGTAGCGGGATGGAGGCATGGCGGCAAGAAGGCGTGAGCACCTCTCACGCACATTAGAAGCGCTGCGGCAAGAGCTCGCTCTTGATGCCCCTTATTGAGTGCTTCTTCTTGCGGTGCGTGGACAGGTTGCAAGACTGCTTGAAGGAGGCGGTGCACATATCACAGTTGAATCGCCGCTCCTTGCTGTGCACCACCCGATGCAGCTCCATGCGCGACTTGTACTTGAACTTCAGTCCACAGGCGTTATAATCGCAGATATACCAACGCTCGCCGTCATCCGACGACACGGCGCTGCTCGCGCTGGCCGTCGTGCTATTCGAGTCCTTTGGCAGCAGCTCCTGGCCGCCGGCCAGCAACGGTATGCACGACTGCTGCAGCACCACAGCGGCGGCGGCGGCGGCAGCAGCAGCCGCCGCATTAGCATTGACATTCACATTAACATTAGAGCCGCCAACCACTGAACCGGCCAATGCGGTATGCGACAGTGGCGGCGGCGGCGGGGGCGTGGCTGTTGCTGCTATTGTTGCGCTCGTTGTCGGAGTTGTCACTGTGCCCGCGTTCACAAAGCAGGACGTCGATGCCGGCGGCGGAGGCGGCGGTGCCACTGGCACCACCTGCGACAAATGGTAGATTGTGGTGTTGGCGTTGCTCCCAGCTGCTGCGGCTGCCGCTGCCACCTGCATATCCGGTGGTAGGCTCAAGCTGGTGGGCTCCACTTTGATATCGATGCTGCTGCCTCCGCCGGCCCCGCCGCAGACGCTGCTGCTGCTGCTGCGCGCACTGTGATCGCCAGCGGCAGCAACTGCCACGGCATGCAGCTCCGCCAGATCCTTGGCCGTATCCCGCTGTTGTTGTTGCTGCTGCTGCTGTTGCTGTTGCTGCTGAAGCTGCAGCTGTTGTTGCTGTTGCTGTTGCTGCTGCTGCTGCTGTTGTTGCTGCTGCTGGTGCTGCTGTTGCTGCTGCTGTTGCTGCTGTTGCTGTTGCTGCTGCTGTTGCTGCTGATTTTCCTGTTCCTGCTCCTCCTCGTTGTACTTGGCACAGTGATACAATGCCAGCGGCATGGGCAACGTTGGCAACGTTGTTGTACTACTCGCGGCAGCCGCATCCACGTCCGTCAAGCAATAATTGGAGCTGCGACCATGCTCCTGTTTACACAAACACAAACACATGAAAACAAACATTTTGGGCGCCAAAATAACATAAGAAGGGAAACATAACATGCACGAGACTAGGACATTGGGGCGGTCGGTGCGGCTGCTGGCTCTGGTGCTTACCTTGGCGAGGCCGTGCAGAAAGTTGTGCTCATCTTGGATGTGCTTCCAAAAGGCGTCCTGCGTCTGCAGCTCTTCCTGACATGTGTGGCAGACGATCCAGAAGCTGTCGCCCGATAGGCAGAACTCGCCAAGCTTTGTGTAGATTTTATTGTTCTTGCTGAGAATGCGCGGAAAGCCCATTGCGTTGACGTTGTTGGCGACGCCTCGGGGCCGTGCGTTGCGTTTTATTATTATTATTTATATGAATGTTTTGTTGGCTGGCCGCAGTACAGGGTTGCATTTAACAAGGTATGCATTTTGTGGCGATGTATCGAATGTATATATCGATGTTGCGCGGCACATTTCGCAACACACAAACACACATGGCGTTGCCACCTAGGACTAATTTCAAAATCCCGCCAAACATTTCAGTTGAATTTAAAGAAAAACACGTTTCATATATTTTTTAGCATTTTTTGTTTTTAAATTTATTTTGCTTAATTCGTCTGCAAGTTCATTAAGTAAATTTTATTTTCTGTTGGTCTTGAAATAAAAGTAATAAACAGGAAAAAAAAATATATATATATGCATGTATATATATAGTGTTTTATAAATACTTTGACGGCTTCAACTAACAATAAAAATATATAAATGTTTATATATATATATATGTATGTATGTGTTTGTGTGTGAAACTGAAACGAAAGTTGAAATTTCTTAAAATTCATATTTACCCCCAAATCTAATTTAATAACAGCACAAAAAATATACATATGTCTAGTATATATACGTATATATATACATATATATATGCAAGTATATATATATATATATGTATATATATAGTTAGAATAAAAAAAATGTTTAATACAAATAAATATGTTTAGCTTGTTCTTTGCCAAATAATCCATAAAACGGATATTCATATAACTTATTACACATATACATATATACACACATATATATATTTATATATGTTTATACATGTGTATACCTATACACATACATAATGTATAACATAAGCAATATTTGTTTTTTTTTTAATGTTTTTAACATATATACTTGTTTTCTTTTCATTCATTTCTTTAAGTTTTTTTTTTTTTATAATAAATTTTAAGACTTGGATATCGTTAATTTACAAAGTACATAAGTAGTTGTTTTTTGCTTATATGGAACATATTTTAACATTGCTTGTGACGATGAGAACTCGACACAAACTGCGTATGAATTTTTTTATAGTACATTTGAATTTTATTTGTATTTTTTTTTTCTTTTTGTTTTTATCTTTGTTTACGAGTAGTTTTTGCAAGAAATTGAATTTCTCGCTTAGAATTAAATGTTAATGACTTTTTATAATTTATTTATGCGTAAACACATGAAAAATGAATTTAATTTATAAACTATGCAGTCGGTAAATGTTGTTTGTTTTCTTTTTCAGTAAAGATGTTTTTATTAATATTATTATATATATATTTGTTGTTTTTATTTTTCTTCTTCTTCCTTTTTTTTTGCTATTATGATCGGACAGTGCGCACGAACTTTTCAATATTTTGTGAGTGTGTGTGTGAGTGTGTGTTGACCTTGAAGAATACTAAAGTTATTTTGTTTTCGTTTGGTTTGTTAAAGTTGTTTGCTTTAATGTAATCAGTTCTTTGAGTTCTCAGTTTGAAATTTTGTTTTGCTTTTGTTTTCAACACAAACGAAATAGCAAAATTAACGATAGTTTGTTTGGTTTTAGCGTTCGTGTTGTCATCGATACATATACATATAATATATATAATATATAATATATAATATATATATATATATTTAGATATATTTATTTCGCTTCGTGTAACTATCAATAACCATTTATTCTTAATTTTACTTTTTGTGGCATATTATGCCCAGAAAATTAGTTAACCTACTTACAAGCTATGAAAAAAAAAAAAAAAAAAAAAGAAAAAAAAAAAAATGGTTATCTCGAAAGAAATTAATAAATAACTTAGGCATAGTCTATTAATTTACATGGTATCATATGCGTGCGTGCGTGCGTGAGTGCAGGCGTGCGCGCGTGTCCTCTCAGAAGGCATCGCCCGCATACCAGGGATGCACCCAGGGCGCTGACGGCGGCGGCGTCGGCGGATAAATCGTCGGCGATGGCTGCCCATGTGCATGATGGTGCGCTGCTGCTGCCGCTGCCGCTGCCGCCGCATTTATATGATGATAGGGCGCTGAGAAGGCGCCATAATAGGAGGCCGCTGCCAGAGCCGCAGCAGCGGCCGTTGGCGACGCGGCCGTCGACGACGAGTGCGTGGACGAGGCGGGCGACAGGCTGGCAATGCCAGCGGCACAAATGCTATGCCGCCGATGCATGATCGCCTGCCGCTGCTGACGCTCTGCTGCGGCGGCTGCTGCGGCGACACGCGTGCTGGCCGTCTCTATTGGTGCAGCCCGACGCGCACGCTGCTGTTGCTGTTGTTGTTGTTGCTGCAACTGTTGCTGGTGCTGCTGCTGCAGCTGTTGCTGTTGCTGCTGTTGCTGTTGCTGTTGCTGCTGCAACTGTTGCTGGTGCCGTGTGGCGGCCACATCCTGCTGATGCGTACCCAGACTCCAGTCGAAGGCGCTGCTGCGACGCGCCTCCTGCTGCGCAGCAACAGAAGCTCCGCTCAGCGGCGGACTGAGCATATTGGCTGCTGCCTTGCCATAGAGCGTGGACAAATAGGCGTGCTCCGCCTCAGCCATCTGCTGAGCAGCGGTACGGCTGCTCTTGTTGCAGTTGCTGTTGTTGCTGCTGGCAGCGCTGCTGCTGCCACTGCCGCTGCTAGCGTGCTGTCGCTTCTTTAGTTGACGCTGTTGCTCCTGTTGCTGGCGTGTTGCTGCTGCTGCTGCTGCTGCTGCGGCTACAGCTGCAACTGATGCCGATGTTGGTTGTGTTGCACGCAGCTCTATTGGCGGCGGGTGCGGGCGGTGCGATTGTTGGTTGTGGGAGTACAACATTTCGTATGTGTTGCTGCTGTGTGTTGCTGTTTGTTGTTGATAGTGATGCTGATGCTGGTGTTGTTTCTGTTGCTGTTGCTGTTGCTGATGCTGTTGCTGTTGCTGATGATGTTGCTGGTGGTGCTGTTGGTGGTGCTGTGGTGCTGGTGGCGGTGCCAAATGAGCCATGTGATGAGATGCGGGTATTGTCTTATGTTGTTTGTCTGTAGCTGTTGTTTTTGTTGTTGTCATTATGTTGTTACTGTTGTCTGCTGCTGCTGCTGATGATGCTGCTGTTGTTGCTGATGCTGTTGCTGTCGGTGTTGGTGTTGTTGATGTTGGCAAATGTTGTGCTCCCCAGCTTAATTCCTAGCTCGTGCGCGTGCGCTTCGACGGCGGCTGCTCCGATTGGCGTGTCATGAATGTTAACTGCGTCATGTACTTAATGATGTCGCGCACCTGCACCAGCGGCATATTCTCATTGTAGGAACGATCGTGCTCCATCAGTATTTGCACCTGTCGCCTGGGTTGAGCAGACAGAGAGAGAAATAGAGAGAGAGAAAGAGAGAGTTGGTAAGATGTGTAATTAGTATTTGGATTGCAGTCGCTAGGATTCTCATTTTAATTCTATCTCATTCACTCATTCACTCGCTACTTCTACTCGTTGCATTTCCTACCTACTCATACTCATATACCCAAGTTATTCGCTATATTTACTCGCTATGTCTGCTCGTTGCTTTTATAAGCTAGAATACTCTCTACTCTAATTAACTTATGTTTCTATTTATTTCTCTACTTTGATAAGCTTATATTGATACATACTTATATACCCTATCACAGATATGCACCCTAACTAAATTAACTCGTCGCTATTATTCGACATATTTAGTCGCTAATTTTATACTATTATATCTATTATTTCATGATCCCCAAAGTGACTTTTATCTATTCTCTTGTAACTCCTTCCACTCGAGGCAGATATTCGTAATTTTTACTAGCTAGATATAATCGCACTCGCTACATTTGGTAAACGTATTCGTTATTTCATTCTGGCATCTATTCTATTTAATATAGGTTATATATGCATATCTCCATTTGTGGAGCTCCCTTTACTCTCTACTCCTACTCTCTACTCCTACTCGCTACTTTTTCTCGCTGCTTTTACTACACTACTCTATCTGTCTTCTTTCTCTGGCTGCTTACTCTAACTACTGAGCTATTTATAGGTACACCCATTAAACTAACTAGATGTTATATTGTGCCTGAGCTTGACTTACCGATTCGCCTTGTAGAGCTCAACGCCGAGCGCCTCAATCAGACGCTTGCAGTGATCCAGTGCGACAGTGGGAAAGAAATTCTTTTGGAACTCGGTGAGGGTCATCAGCTGCTCGGATTCATTGTAGGCCTTCATGTTGATACAGGGCACCAGATGCTTGTCCACGCACACCTTGCGCACCTTGTACGGCGTGGGATTCATGTTGCTGGTCTGTATCTCCGGTATGACGGACAATCGATGTGCCCCATCGCCGGACGCACTGGCGCAAGCAGCGGCCGCCAGTGCCGCATGCCTTTGCAGATGCATCGAGGCGCTGTTGGCGTTCGAGTTGCTGTTGCCGCCGGAGGAGCTGCCGCCATTGGAGGCAGATGAGCCACCGCCGCCGCCGCCGCTACCACCGCCACTATGGCCGCCATTCTGCTGCAGATGCTGGGCATGATGGGCGAGGGCGGCAGACATCCGCTGATGCTGCGCCGCCACAGCCTGTTGCTGCTGCTGTTGTTGCTGTTGCTGCTGCTGTTGTTGTTGCTGCTGCTGTTGCTGCTGCACGGCTGCGGCGGCCTGCTGCTGCTGCTGATGGAATGTTGAGGCAGCTAACGACCTTCGGGATGAAGACAAATCGATAACATCAGTGGGCGTTGTGCTGGGCGTGATTGTGGTGCTGGCGATGCCAATATCCAACTGGCAATTGCCACCACCAGCAACACCACTGATACTAAATGGCTGATGACTGTGTGACTGACGACCGTAACCACCGCTAATCGATTGCGATTGCGAATGCTGTTGTTGTTTGTTGTGACGCGCACCGCCCCCACCTGAACTCCCGCTGCCGCCCCCACTACCGACGCTACCGCCGCCACTCCCGGCCAGCGACAATATGGCCAATGGCAGCGCATTGGCTTTCGTTGAGCAAATGACACTCTTTTGCCGCGCACCACCCGCCGCACCACCGTTAACACAATTATTGCTGCCACCGCCACCATTGTTCCCCAGCGGCGAGGCAGCCGTCGTGGAGGCACTCGAACTGGAACACGAACTGGACGGCGAGTGCAGAAAATGTCCCGGCAATTGTGGTGTGATCGTCACGTTTGGGTTCGAGGCCAGCGACAAGGTGGTCACATTAGCACCACCAATCGCCGGCGACATGGGTGGCGAGATGTACGCGTTTAGCGGATGTGAATTACTATTATTATTGTTATTATTATTATTATGATTATTGTTGTTCGCATTGGTCTGTATGGAGGTGGAGAGATCTGGATTGGCTATCACCTTGTGTATGACGGCTCGCATCTCGTCCGTCATATTGAACTTCTTCTCGAAATCCTCCAACGCTTGCGTGGAGTTCAATGGTATTGTGGTGACACCACCAGCACGCTGCTTTCTGCTAGTCGGTGGTGCGGGCTGTTGTTGTTGTTGCTGCTGCTGCTGCTGCAGCAACTGTTGCTGTTGATGATGTTCATCCGATATTAATGGTGGCACAGTGGGCTTGGTAAATGTGCCACCCGATGCACCACTTGCCTTGCTGCTGCTGTTACTGCTGCTGTTCTTATTGTTCGTCTGCTTGTTCGGGTTGTTGTAGTCGAGCATCGTGATCAAATCGGTGTCCAGTGGCAGCGATGGCAACGCCGGAAAGCTGCCACCTAATGGCGAGCCATGCGCTATTTTGGGCGACGTGCTGGCAACGCCGCCACCGCTGCCGCCGCTATTGCTGCCACCGTTGGCGCCGGTGCTGACGCCCTTCATTTGTTGCGTCAGCATCAGGCGCTGCGTCGGCGTCAGCTGGTTCCAGAGCGCCAGATTTGTGTAGTCCGCACGTGTGGAGGGCATATTGTAATTGAATGGACTGCCTAGTAGGGCGTGCATATTGGCAGCGACGGCGGCAGCGGCAGCGGCAGTGGCGGCGACAGCAGCAGCAGTAGCAGAGCCAGAATTTGAGGAGCTGTTGCTGTTGTTGTTCTTGTTGGAGGAGTTGTTGTGCGTACTATTATTATTATTATTATTATTGGTGTTGCTATTATTATTAATGTTGTTGTTGTTATTGGCAAGGACATGGCCATGATGGCCACGTGAACTGTGCGTGTTTGGGGAGTGTTGTTGTTGTGCATGGTTAAATGTACTATGGTGTTGTTGTCGTTGTTGTTGCTGTTGTGTCTGTTGATGTTGTTGCACCAGTGATTGCTCGACATTTGACCTAGAAACATTATATACAATACATGAGTCGCATTTAGCTTGGCTGCAAAATTTCCAGTTTTTTTTTATTATTTTGATTTTTGTTTTATGTTATCTATTAAACATTTCATTCTCCTTCTATTCTTATTTGACTGTTTTAAAGCATTTTTCAAATTTTGTTGATACGCGCCTAACAATATTTTCAATATAAATATGCACACACATACGCATACTCAGGCACACGCATTCACTCACAGCTGTTTTTTATTTCTGCATGACAAAAAAAAACAGTTAGTTGAATTTATGCATTAATCGTTAAATATTTATCGATTATTTGCAACGTTGCTGCGTGCTCATCGCCTTACTGCTGCAGCTGGCTGGTCTAGTGCTTGCCAAGTGTTGCCCTACTTAATTTAGTTTTATTTCATTATTAGCGCATAATTTTAACGTATTTGATCAAAACACTAACAAACAAAAAATAACAAAAGTTGTTTAAAACTATTATTATTTTATTTGCTTTGGTTAACTTATAATTTATTAATGCCCTAGACGCTATGAGCGTTAACGTGTGCATGTTTATCTGTGTGTGTATTTCGTATACATCGAAATTAGCAAGTCCAATGATTGTATTGTGTATGTGTATATGTGCATGTGTGTGAGTGTGTACGTGTGTGCGTGTGTATGCAATGAACTTTATTTAATTTAGTTGCAACTTGCAAGTTGCAGCTTCACAGCTTGTGTTTTATCTTGGTTTCAACTGGTTTTATTTTTGGTATAACAACTTTCTTAAATTATATGATTTAAGCCTTTATATTGACTTAGAAGTCTATATACAAAACTATATATATACATATATATATATGTATTCATATATATATGTATATTATATTTAAAAATACATGAATGTATAAATACATTTTGCTTATGAGAATTTTGTTTGCCAAATTTTATATCAACTTGTACACGCATTATATATAATGTTCTCTTGATCTTTCACACTCTCTCTCTCTCTCTTTATCTCACTTTCCCTGTCACGCTCTCTCACTCCCTCTCTTTTCTCTTACTGCTCTCTCATTTTGTATGGGGATAGTTTAGATGTCTGATTCTGTGCAGTTGGTTTTGATTGCGGCTCTTGTTAATTCGATTGATATCTTGTGGCCGGGTTTGAGGTTGAGGTTGAGTTCTTTGCGGATTGATGTTGGTTTCTCTGCCATAGGGTGTAGTGGAATACCTGTCACCAGAATTTCTTGTTAAAATTCCATGTTTAATTTGTTTGTTTTTGTTTTTTTTTTTTTTAAAGGTATTTTGTTGTTGTGCTTCGATTGTTGGTTTTGTTTTTATTGTTGTTGTTGTTGTTGTTGCTTTTATTTTACTTTAGTTTTTTTATTAAAATTTGAATTGCAATTTGCATTTGTTTTTTGTAAATTCGATTCACGATTGAGTCACGATTTGTTGCTTATTTTCGATATCGTTTTCGAGTGCGACAAATTATAGTTAGGGGTAGTCAGTACACACAGCCATCAAATCAAATGTATGTAAATATATTTGGTTGCATATATATACATATATATAGATATATATATATGTATATGTTAATGGATTGATGTTTATATTGATAACATATATATATACATATATGTGATGTATATATAAACAAAATAATCATTCGTTTCTTTATAGAACACAAAAAATATTGTTGATTGCTTTAAATGCGAATTCATGTTTTTCAAAATATGTTGTAGTTCTTCTATTAGCGTTTCATCGAAGATCAAAATATAAAAAAAAAAAAAAATAAACAAAAAAAAACATTACAATTAAAGAAAGTGAACTAAACTCCAAAGAGAAGCAATTAATTTATTTTTTATTTTTAAAAACCAATGTTTTTTTTTTTTTTTTTTTTTTTTTTTTTAAGCAAGCATCACAAATAGAAAAGTTTGCTTAAAAAGCGTTAAAGTTCAAGGCATGCAAAAACTACATGAAAAAGTGAAGAAATTACATATAAAAAAAAAATTAAAATGATGTATGTGAGTGTGTGTGGATGGGTGGGTGGGTATGTGTGGGTGCGGGCGTATATCTGATTCGTGTTTTGTGTTAATTACGTTTACCCTTATTACCCTTTATTTAAAACTGTTTAGCAAAAAAAAAATGTATATTGTCAAATTTTAACAAATTGACACCCTAATGCATGCCATATTAAGCTAATTAATTTCTTGTGTTAGTAACGCAAAATAGTTTATGAGAAAGTAGAAAAAAGACGTTTTCAATTCGTTTAAGTTTCAGATTTATATTTTGAAAAACATAATATGTAGTGACGCCCTAAATGAAACATACATATATATATATATATATATATACATACATACATATATATAAATATATATATATATATATCTACATATCGGTGACAAAATCTAGAATGCAATGAGAAAGCGTTTTTTACTTTTTACTTCTCTTTTTCTTTCTTTCTTTTTAACTACTACAACAACAATAAGAAAAACATGGAAAGATTTTTTTTGTATACAATAATTACAATTAATTTTTGTTTTGTTTTGCGTGTTGGAAATAAATTACGAAAAATAATGTAGCGTGACTTTTTTAGGTTTATTTTCTTTTTTTCTTTTTTGACGTGGATTTGGTAAAAGGGCAAACGGAATTGTAGCAAATAAGTTATAGTATATATGCGTATAACGATTATTTTTCATAATTTCATAACATGTATATATAGTTTTGTTTTTTTTTTTTTTTATCAAAAACGGTAAACACAGTCGAAATTTGTATTAAAATTAAATAAAATGCGTGCACAAACGCCGATTTCGGTAAACTGTTTTCAAGTTTTAGAATTTTATTACAACTAAGATGAGAAAAAAAAAAACAATTGGTGCATAGAAGAAGAGAACAAAAAAAATAATAATAAGAATAATTAAATAAAATTACAACTTGCTGGTTCTGATCTTGAAATATTTTTTCTTCTCATTTCGTGTGGCACCCTAACGGCAGAAAAATATTCAACTTAACTTAGAGTGAAAAGGTAATGTATGCATGTACACATAATAAACGAATTACAACAAAATTTGAAAAACACAATTTCTGCGCAAAAAAATGTTTGTTTCTTGTTTTGTTTTTGATAATCAATCAATAAATATGTAAATAAATATATTAATATATAATGTATATATGTGTATAAATATATATATTTATATATATATATATATATATATATATATATATATATATATATATATATATATATATATATATATATATACATACATTGACAAAGAAAAGCAAAATCAAAGTAAATAGCAAAAACTAATTGTAACTGTAATTGCAAATTTGCTTTCATTATTTGATTAATTGAAGTAAGTGAAACGGCGCAGTTACACAAATCGATAGCAACAAAATGATAACAAATCGATTTTCATCGATTGCATACTGTGAATACTTACATGTGATTGGCATTCTGTCCTGCAGCGGATCGTACCAGTGGCGGCGGCGCATTGCCACCCCCACCGCTGTGGTTGTTCACCGAAGACATCGAAATCGCAGGATTGTTGTACGAATACGGTTGGCGGCTGCTGCCACCCAGCATCATGTTGTTTATGTGTTCTCGATAGGCGCCTCGATTGGCATTCGCATGCGATTGTTGCGCCTACAGGTTGCAGCATAGAACAACACATAGGGGAAGAGAGAAAAAGAGAGAAAGAATGGTGAAAATGAGAAAAAATCAACATTTATTACAAAGCTCATGTGAGCGAATGCGTGTGAGATAAAATAAACCTCAACAGGTTGCCAAGCACAGAAACACACACACACACACTCATATACACATACTCACACGTGCCTATGTTTGCTCGAGCAAACAACTTTAACTACAGCGAGAGCATAGTGTATGTGTGTGTATATGCAAGCATATATGTGTGCATGCATATATACACATGTGCATGAGTGTGTATGACCCAGTTTCTAAGCTGCTGCGGCTGGGCCGCTGCTGTTGCTGCGGCTGCTATTGCCAAACTGTGAGAAAAAAAATCTGCTAAATATACCCACACACACACACTCACACACACATTTACATTAAGTTATCTAGGCATGTATTGATTACAGAGACGTGGCCAAATGCACTTTTCCCCGATTTTCTAATATAGTTATCCTTATATTTATAAATTCATTCATGTATTAATTTTCGTACGGCTTCTAACTCATTTTGTTTCGTTCATTTCGTTCATCGATAACAAACGTTTTGAACTAGAGCCTGGCACGAGCCAACATTTCATTCATTTCATAAATAGCACAAACTAGAACGGCTGCCTCTCAAGTAGAACAGTTGAACGCATTGAACTGTGACAAACGCTCAACAGTTCAATGGCATGAACGGTTCGCTTGAACTTGATTTTCTGTTCGATTGCTTTGCTTACGTGATCAAAACGAAAGGCAAAAGGAATTATTTGATGACGTTTAAGCGGTGTATCCTCAGTTGAATTTGTTACACGAATAGGAATAAAGAATTTTGAGCTAACAAAAATATATATATTAACATTTTACAATTTATTTAAATGAGAAAATTCGATGCACAATTATTTGCATTTAGAATCATTAAAGAGATCTGCAAATAAAGAGTGTTGCACGACTTCTGCTTGATTTGCCCCAACGGGATAAATTGTGCAGCCCGAAGAAGCTGTTGTTGAATCGGATGCAAATGGTGTGCTAGTCCGATAGATCAGCGTCGTATTTGGGAATGGCCTTGTGCGCTGGGCTGGTTGGTACACGGTTGCAGTGTGGCCCGGGCGCAGGTTGTTGGTATTGAAACAATCTTTCATATACCAGCATACCCAATCGGACTTGAAGCAAAATTTCATCAATTCCCTATTTTGTGAGAATTTCCTGGTCCACTGTCTGCCTATACATCGCGGATGCACCAATCTTTTGGTCTTTTATTTGCATTATTATCCAAATGCTGCATTGCTTTTTGCAGGAACTCGCTGCTCTCATCGCTTTTTTCGTTTTTTTGACCAGATCTGAAAGTACAACATATTTGTTAATTATTATTTGAGGTGCCTATAAATTAAAACATTTGTAAAAAATAATAGCATCAAGCTTTGAGAGCCACTGTGCATATCAAGAAGCCTAATTCATCAGTATCATTTTACTAGAACTACGAGAAGACGTTTGGCATTATATTGATGACTATAGTAAATGTAAACTATGAATTTTTATGAGGAGGTTGAAGTTAACGGAAGGTCATCAGATTCTGCTCAATCTGAATTTAAAACAAGATTTGATGTAAACTCCTATCATTTGCCGAAGCCTAGCAATGTTGTTCGAATGACAGATGTGTAGGGACGATGCCTTTCCTTTATCAACAAATTTAATGAACAATTTAATATAGTCGTCATAATTTGACTAGAAAAGTGCTAATTTTTAATTGCCGGCTTTCAAGAGCTCACTCGAAAAAATTTTGGCATCTGAAGGAAATTTGACGGATAATGCCAAAGTAATTCGTAATAAATTTGGCGAATATTTTAATACGAGTGGAGCAGTGGCTTGGCAAAATGATCTATTTTAATACATATATCTATGTTAAATAAATAAATTAATAATCATACTTACATTTTGAAGTTCAATATTTGGTGTCCTTGAATATGTGAAGTCCTTCGGTGAACGATTCCTTGACTTCCTTAAATTTTCCAAGTACCATATGCTTGGTAAAATCTTAATTTTTAGCAGTTCGCGCCTATATGAAGCGCGCAGAGAATTTACATCTTTTTTTTTTTTTTTTTTTTACAACGCGCTTTTGTGGATTTCTTAATATTTGATTAATAAGTTGTCTCAAGATTTATTGCGCAAATTTTTATTTTTAAAATTTTTACTTTCCTTTCGCCACAAAGCCGGTTAATTTTGCAATAGACTCTTCTAAAAGTTTCCTGTTGATATTTTGAGAAATTATGTTCGTGCGAACACTCGAATCCATTGTCGAACATGTTTGCACGAACACGCGTAAGATAGAAACGTTTCGACTTTTACGCGAACATTGCAAACAAAAAATTCGTACAAACACATTTTCGTGTAAAAAATTCGACTGTGGATACAACCGCTTATGTTACATAGATCAATATTGGAAAATGCCCATAAGAGACGACCGAAGGAGAGAATAGATAATATGTAAATATATACATATCCTAATATGAATATCTTAAAAGCCCGGCACGATCAGGAGAGCTTCCACGAGTTTCAAAGGTAGCAAAACTTCTGTGGGTAGCCACCCCCTGGGTGGAATGACCCAAAGTCGGGCATCTAATATTTTGCCCCATTTTTACTTTTATACTCTACTACTGAGCTCTAGTTGTGAGGGGCTCACCGAGTCCGCTGCCCCTCCCCTTCTTTTTACTCCTCCTCTTCGACCTCTGCCCACCGGTTGCTGTCCTAGTGGCGGCATCGCCGGCCCTGATGTCTCGCGTAGTAGTTGTTACAATCGTTCGTATAGTTAGGGTATCTACCTCCCTACCTCCTCCTCCTCCCAAGGACTTACACTTAGGTCCATTACATAGATTTTCGAACGGACTATCTTTTCCTTTCCGCTGGTCTTGGTCTTTAGGGCCTGAAAATCGATTATCACACACAGCCGTGATAATCGACTTCTGTCTCTTTAATGCGTTTTTATACCCTGAACCCATTGAAAATGGGAAATCAGGGTATAATGGTTTTGTGAAAAGTATGTAACAGGCAGAAGGAATCATCGCAGACCCCATAAAGTATATGTATTCTTGATCAGGACGACGAGCTGAGTCGATATAGCCCTGTCCATCTGTCCGTATGAGCAAAAGGATCTCAGAAGATATAAAAGCTAGAGAGCTGAAATTTAGTATGCATACTCGTGTATACCATAGGCAGTACAAGTTTATCATATTTTTTCGATATCTCATCCGATAACTTTTTATCGAGAATAATCGAAAAATCGACATTGTTTTTTCAGCGTAATTTGAACACTTTAAGACCTGGAGTCTTCAAATTCGCGTTGTATATAAAGTTAATGGATACAAAGATTTTGTAATTTTCAGATTTTTGGTACCACGCCCCATTCGCCCCCAATTTGTAAAAAACACATTTCAAGTACTAGAGACTTGTGCTTTGGAATGTACACACACATTTACCATATGATTACGCTCATACGCTCATAAGTTTCATTAAGATCATATGTCTAAAAATGAAATTATTCAACAAATAAATTCTCATAATATTGCCCACACTGCAGCGCAGCCCAAGCGCAGTCGCTGCTTACTGCGCAGTTAGCAGACTGCAGGCTTATGCGTGCATGTGCATGCATGTGTATGTATGTGTGCATAAAAGAAGTGCAGAATGATTAGAGTATCAGCTTAGAGGGTTCAGGGTATCTCCTAGTCGAGCCGTCTCGACTGGAGCCTTCTTACTTGTTTTTTCTTATTTCAATTTTCTGTTCCTTTGCTTGCTGTTCTTCTCTATGTTCTCTTCTCTTAATTCTTCATATTCCCCTACCGCATGGTTCCGAAAATTTCTTTTGCTTTGCTCATTGCTATCTTTGCTTCGCTCCTTTTTCTCTCAACTCTGTCTCTATCTCATCATGGATTACCAGGTAGACTTCCTCCCATTATGAGATATATATTTCTAGCTTCGTATTGTACCCTCGTCGCTTAAATCAACAATATTAGCAATAATAACAGCACTGGATTAAACAATACTGTGATTCTTCACAAGCTTTGAGTCAATAATTAATTAACTGTTTCTGTACGCACGCACACAAACACAGATACACGCACACTCATACGCCCGTAATGACAAAGTGTGTGTTTTTGTTGCGGCTATATACATGTGGTACAATTGTACCGTTTGTTCAGATGGTACCGTGGTACATGGTACATTTTTAATGTGATAAAGCTGTATTTGTGTATGGCTATATAAATTAAGTAAACAATGTAATTGTAATCGGATTGCCCGACTAGAAAATACCCAGGATATCAAATGATTTGAGGTTTTCAATTTTATTCGAGCAACAACAAGAATGTTTGTTAAACAAAAAATTAAAAAATAAATAAAATTAAAAATTAAAAAAAAAATTCCGCCCTGATCTAAATCTAAACTAAAGTTACGGCTACAAATTCAAACTCAATTCAATTGCTATTGTAATTCGTAGACCCCCTCGCCCAGTCATTGAAATGAATGTTGCATAGAGAAAGGTGTTTGAATACGTGTGTATGTATGCGTGCACACATACACGTATAGGAAACACTCTTGTCGCTGCTGCCACGTGCGTTTGTTAATTGACCAAATGGTTTATTTAACAACTTCTGTGTTTCTGTCTTACGCATTTCAATGCAGCGCCCAAGTATATGATCCAAATGTTCTATGAAACATTTGTCAATTAAGTACAAATGTTTACATATTAGCTATATTGACAATTGACCTTTAATTTCAAGAATTTTATAAGATTTTATAAATTATCTAATATATGCATTAAACTAAATGCTGAATTTGGAGTCTCTAGCAAAATAATGCATAAGTGTATAGCTGAATTTTGATAGGATTTTTAATCGATAACATTAAGACGGGAATAATTATCGTTTTTTAATGCATATGCTTTACAGAGAGCTACAAATTAAGCTGAATTTCAATAGGGTTTCTTATCGACCAAACTGAAATGCTAATCGTTATCAATTTGTTGATCTGAGTGGGAACGTATTCAAAGATTCAAGTCTCTAGTTTTTATAGCTTCTGAGTTGCACACGTGCATACGTACGGACAAAAGGGCGTAGAAAAGCAATTCCGCTCGTCCTACCGATCAAGAATTTATATACTTTAATGGTATCTTGAGCGCCTTATTCCCATTTAATAATAAATATACAATATAGTTCCACGCTCTCTGCTCCCTTCACCAACTATCGCATACACACACACACACACATGCAGATATACATACATACACATAGCAGAGCTATCGATATCCATTAACATCCCTGCTCATGCTCATTTACTCACCAACATTTGGACATGCAGCTGGGGCACATTGTTCTGGCTGTTCATCCAGCCGCCGCTGGCCAGAGCCTGGACCGTGGCCTGAGTCAGCATGCGGGTGTTGCCCTGCGTCTGCAGCATGGCCGCTGCCGCCGCATGGGTATTGTATGCTGCTGCCGCAACCGCTGCAGCGGCGGCCGATGGGAAATTGCTGCCGTTTGCGACGCCGTTGGCAGCGGCGGCAACAGCAGCGCGCTGCTTCATCAAATGCTGTTGCTGTGCCGCAGCAGCGGCGGCTGTCGAGTGCTGTTGTTGTTGCTGTTGCTGCTGTTGCTGCTGTGACTTTTGTACGTTGACGGCGCTGCTGCTGTTGACGCTGGCAGAGATTTTTGGTGGCGGCGCCGATGGCTGTCGCGTCCAATTAACCGAATTATTGACATTCGCCCGATTGCCGATCAACAGATTGGAGTCGACCACCTTGCTGGGCCAATAGTCCTCGAATTCGGTACCATTGGGAAAGTAGCTCTTGATGTCGGTCAGCGATATGACGGCAACATTCTCGCTGGAGAAGAGCTCATTGCGTATGCCCTGAACTTTGCAGCAGAACTTCAAATAGGCCAGATCCCAGCCATTGAGCAGTTCCGCCTTGGTCTTCAGGTTCTCCGTCTCGCCCTCGAAGTAGAAGAGCGGCACCACCTGCTGGCTGTTGCGCACCGTATACGGCACCACCGACTCCTTATTGATGCGTATGAAGCCGCATTTCTCTGATGGCGTTTTGCTGCCCGCCACCAGCTTGCGATAGCATATGTCCAGGAATTGATAGAATTTCGATGCATCGCTGAGACGGACGACCAGATCCTTTTGGGTGAAAATATCACGGCCGAATTCACCGTCACAATGCTTGTGGTTGATCTCGATGAAGAGCCGTGCCTCGGCATCGGTTATGTAGTAGCTGCGCACGCATGTGCAGCTGGAGTAGATGTCCGGATGGAGGCAATTTAGATATTTGCCAAGCAGCTTCAGTTCGATCATGCGCACCGAGCAATACTTTTCCGATTGTCTGTATATATAGGGTATCGATACTTTGCCGAATTGCGCCCAGCCAAAGTGGCCTTTGATCGATTCCTCGTCGCACGGACCACCGCCCGATGACGATGACTTCTTATCACCGTTGTTATCCATGATGGCTCCGTTCGCCCGGCCATTGGCCGCCAAAGCGGGCACCACTTGCATTGTGCCATTGGGTAGCTTCTGATGGCGCGACAGGTAGCTCATGATATTTGTCTGGCCATTGCCATTGGTTAACGGTGGTTGCATTCCCGCACCACAACCGCCACCCCCAGCTCCGCCACCGTTGGCATGCTGCATGGCAGCTTGCCGGCTAGCCTGTTGGGCTGCTTGTTGTTTCTGTTGCTCCTTCATTTTGGCCGCCAATTCGCGGATTTCAGCATCGTCCTCCTGCTTAACGGGCGGACCGAGCGCACCGCCCAAGCTGTTGCCGTGCAGCGGCAGCGTCTGGCCATTGGCATCGATCACGCTGGTGATCTGCACATCATCACTGCTGGACATGACTGCTACTCTCTCTCTCTCTCACTCTCTTCTCTGTCGCTCTCTGCTTATATATTTTATTTACTTTCTTTTTCTTATACTCTTTTCTACCGTTTTTATTTGCAGTTTTAATTCATGTTTCAAATGCTGCAATTAGGCGGAAAAAACATACATTTTTTATAAGCACAATCAAAACTTAAAAAAAAAAAATAAGAAAAAAAAAATACAACAACAACAAATCGAACAGCAAATTAACACAGACTCTGTCTCTCACTCCACTCTTTCTTTCTCACTCTCTTTTACTCATGGTCTGCGTCTGCCTCTGCCCGGCATGCGCCAACGCTCAGCTGACACAGATATGGCAACACTGGTGCGGCCGTTGGCCACACACATATATACATATGCACACACTCACTCTCTTTTTCTCTCTCTCACTTACACACACACACGCACACACACTGACAACAACAAAACGTGCTGCTTGCTGCTATGTTGTTGATGTTATTTTGTTGTTGCTTTTCAACTTTTTTTTTGCTGTTTCTGATGTTATTGTTGTTGTTGTTTGTATCGTGCTGTTTCTTTCGCGCGCACTTTTTGTTGTTGTTGTTTATGGTGTATCGCTGTATAGCGGGCGGCAGCAACTGCTACTGCGTTTTGTACTTCTTCTTTCTCTTCTTCTTTTCTTTTTGCTTTCTGTTTTGCAAATTTCTTTTTACAAGCAACTGTCAAACATTTGTATATAAACTAAGTTGCATTCATTTATGTGCACACTATTCATATATATGTATATACTTATATATTTATTTTATGCATTAGTATTTGTTGTATTGCTTTATTTTGTTGTTCACTTACAATTTGGGATATTGTTGATATTAGAACTTGAAAAAAATTTACACAACGGCATAATCACTTCGATTTTTTAATCATTTGTTTCACTCACTAAATTTATATACAATGTACATGAATATAATATTCTTTGTTTAATATATGCATATATTTTTATGTTTTGTTTGTTGATTAAACACCGCCGACGCGACGCCTACTACGACGACGGCAACAAACGACGCGAAAAAACGCTGATTTTTGCTATGCGGACTGCGACGAGACGTCCTCCCGTCTTCGCAATACACAAACGAGTGTGATCGTTGTTACGAAAATTATTTCAACGAAGTCAACTGAAAAATATGTGCGTGTGTGTAAGTGCGCGCGCGCGTCTGTGTGTGTGCGTTTGGCTGTGTATGTGTATATATAGCAACGACGGCGACGGCGACGCCAACAGCGCAGCAGCTTTGTGTGTGTATGCATTGAAATACATACATATACTCACACATACACACGCGTACAATAGCGCAAAAAGAAATACAAAATACATAGAGCTGTCGCTACTGCCGGCGCTGCAGCAACACCAACAAGAACAACAACAACGACGGCTGCAGAGACACGAACATGCAACGAACATTTTGCCGAATTGCTGCTGCTACCTTGCTCGCCACCGCACACCTCGTAGCTCCCTCTTGCACTTCTTCTATCAACTAGCTAAGCGGCACTGCTAGCTACATCTACCATAACAGTGGTGCAATTAGCTCGAAACATAGATGTACATAGTTAGTATAGCATTACCTAAATATGCGAAAAACATGAATAATAAATATGTGTATGTACCATTTGTATATAATTACATACATATGTATATGCATATATATACATACATATGTATGTATGTAAATATCGTACTAAATCATATTGATTGTTATTAACTCCAAAGTCAACCAACTAAATTTCATGAATATAAATCATTTTCTCAATCTTTCTATCTACATTGTATCACAACTTTTATTTATTTATTTATAGTTGAAAATAAAAATAAAACTTTATAAATACCATATTTTCCCATATGTATGTTAAAGTCTAACGAATCAATTTCCATATTATAATAATATAATTATATTTAAGTAGAAAGGACAATGTACTCTTAAATTGTACTCCTCAAGGATTTAATTGGAGTCAATTATTCTTTGCATAATCTAATGCGGCTCAGAGAATTATGTTAAGCCTGTAATTATCCATACTATTACCACGGTGCAAGCAAAGCTTAAGCCATGTACGATTCAAGCACATAGAGCTAGGCTGATAGCGGCGACGTCGACGGCTGCGTCAGACGCTGGCTTTGGCTCTCTATGTTGTGTGCGCCTTAGCTGCAGCGTGGGTCAAATACGCCACAGCCACCGAGTGTCAGTGTTAGTTATGTGTGTGTGTGTGGGTGTAAGTGTGTATGTATATGTATTTTGGGGCAGCACAGCTCACAGTGTGCGGGGGCGTCTCTATTTTTGGCAGCGCCATGCTAACCTCGCCCCGCTGCCATCGCTAACAGCAACAGCAACAGCAACACCACCACCACCATCACCAACACCACCACCACAACCACCCGGCTCGACCCCTGCTTGGTCATGCGACTTACATACATATATATGTATGTATGTACTGTATAGTATGCAGTCGCTTGGTCGCAGGCCCTGGCTCTGTGCACGCTCCCTGCCCACCTCCCGCTCTCTGTCTCATTAGCTCACGCTCTCTCCATCGGTCCCTCTCTTTTACGCTCACTGGCCATCTCATGCTCTGTATGTATATGCAAGAAGTTTTCATTATTCGTGAGCTCTGTGTGCTCAAGAAAGGCCCCGCTTCGTTCGGCAGCAGCAGCAGCAGCGCTAGCAGCAGCAGCAGAAGCAGCAACAGACAAGACAGCAGCTGCCGACGACATAGCGGACTGCGGACACGAGAGCGCTTCGTAAATGCGTACGTGTGTGTGTGAGCTGTGTGTATGGGTGTGTGCGTGTGTCTGTCTGTTTGTTGTTGCTGCTGCGGCGTTAGCTGGGCCATTGTACGGTAAAAAGCAAAAACTGCGACGGTGGCGTCAGCTGCGCAACACTAAAAGGTCGCACTTTGAATGCATTTTCCAAAAGCAACAACAACAACAAATAGTTTTTGTAACAAAAATTCCCGGCGCTCACTACCTGAGCCCTGACAACAAATCAGCTAATGCGTTCTCAGCCGCTCTCTCAACCTAAAAGCTTGTTCTTCTATACATGTACATACATATGTATATGTAAACACACATACACACATATGTACATATGTATTTAAGCAGAGCTTTAGTTTCGCAGCTGCGTCTAAAATTAGATTCATGTGCGTTTATTTGTTGTATGTATGTACATACATATGTATGTATTGTTCGTGTGTGTGTGTGATATCTCAGTGTTTTGCTAATTAGTCAGCTGTGTTGGGCCTTTGCCGTATTTTGTGAATACCAAATGGGCTACGGCCGGACTGGTGTTTTCCCTTACGTAAATTACAGTGCACATATACATGTACATCTACATAGATATATTGTATATGTATGTGCGTGTTTATAGAGTATATACATAAGTAAATAAATAAATACATGCATACATAAAGGAATATATGTATGTATGTATATAGATATGTATGTACATACATACATATGTACATGTACATACATACAAATAAAGCGCAAAATATGTGCATGCATACATACACAAGCACGCACAGCCATCGATAAGCGTCGTTTTTTTTTTTTTCTCAGTCGGGCACCCGAACAACGCCAGCAAAGTGAGGCCCCGTTTCATGAACGCTTTGCTATGTAAACACAGCTAAACATGTGTTTGTGTGTGTATGTAAATGCGTGTGAGTGTGAGTGAGAGACTGTGCTCGCCTTTTCCCATTGATACGAAACGGTTGAAACGAACGGCTTGGAAATGGAATAGGAAGGGGAAGGGGAACTAGCGATAGGCGATGGGTGATGTGTGATGGGATATGTGGTGTGAGCGATTGGGTAGCTAACCAAAGTTGTTGCTATTATGTGCATTGCAAATACATACATATGTATGTTTGTATGTACATATGTAGCTCGATATGATATTAACATGAATTGGAGTTTGAGTGGGGCGAGAAGTTTGATTCCATGCGTTTGTGCCAAGTGACACAGTGGGTGAACAAAGCGGAGGGGTAAATGTGTCCTGTTCAGGATGTACATAGATATGCATATGTATGCTCATACATACATACATGTAATACATATGTACATATGCAAAGGCTGTGTGCTATGATACGTTAACTGTCTGCATGTATCATGTATCATGGGTGAGTGATAGACAGATTGACTACATACAGTTGATTTGCTGATTGACTGCAACTGACTGATTGATTGATGGTTGGTTGACTGACTCCATTCACTGACTGATAGATTGTTTCGTCAATTTATTGTTTGATTGACCAACTAACTGAACTAACTAATTGAATGGACTGATGAACTGGTTGATTATAGATTTAGCTAACGAATTTAGTGATTGACTGATTGGTGGATTTTTTTTTAAACTGTCTTATAGATAAACTTTTAAACATTGTGATAATTGACTGATTGAATGACTAATGAAATAACTAACATGACTGACTGACTACTTTAAAAGGTTATTAGACTGATTAATTGCCACTGATGAATGAGCTGATTGACTGAATTGGCTGACTGATTAAATAACTAGTTGATTAACTGACCGATTGACCTAAACTACAAATGTGTAACAAAATAATAAAAAAAAAAAAACATTGCTCATTTTTCAAGCTGTCGAAAAACTTTTCACCTACTTATGTACGTACTATGTATATTTCCTTAAAGTTTAACAGTTCTATATAAAAATACATATGTACACTCATGATGAAAATAATAGGTACACCCCTAAAAATTAATCTTTTTTGAGTTTAGTTTAGCAAAACACTTTTTCTACTGCCCTTAACATGAAAATTTAAATGCACATTTCTGAATTAGGTATATATTAATAAAAATAAGTAAATTTGGGTAAAAAATAATTATTTTTTCAAAAGTTACAAACAAATATTTCAATGGGAGCGAAGATCTCGTTCAGCAAGTTATAAGAACTTCAGTTCATTCAATATATGTAGCTTTCACTGTAGTTTCACACACACACATCCATGCATGCTGTGTATGTATGCATGTGTATGTGTGTGTGTCTGTGTGTCTGTTCGTTGGTCCAAATTATTGGCTAGAGTGGTCCCCCAATCATTTTGGCCCTGGTTGGACGGCATTGGGCCGGATATCCGCTCGCCCACAATCAGAGAACGCTTAGCTCGCTGGCTACCGTACCTAAACAACAGCAAGTCGACCCTCCTCCCGCCCCCTACAATTCCCCTGATAGTCCTCAATTGCATTACAACTTTTTGAACAAGTTTGCTTTCTGCTTCATTATCACAATTCCCATCTTTGCTTATCATTTTTGTTGTTGCTGGGTTTATTGTTTTTATAGTCTATGCAAATAAAACGACTACAACAGAGGAAGAAGAATTGGAAAAGTAGCAAAGTGAAAGACGTGCTTAATAAATTGTCTACCCACCTACACAGAAACACACATACACAAAAACATAAACACATGCACACGCACAAGCATTCATGTACACACAGTTTCTATCTCGCCATGCACTTTCATTCGCTCGCTCTCCTGCCTCTCTCTCTCTCTCGTTCTCTCTCATTCTCTGTCTCGTTCGTTCTCGCTGCACGCACTGATGGAAAATAATAAGTTACCATTTGCTATTGCTTATTTGGCCGCACGTGGGCTGCAGCTGTAGTTGTAGTTCTTGTTGTGGTTGTTGATGCAGCTGTTTGCTGACTTTGACTTGTGCGTTTTTAAAGCTTTCTTCCAATAAAAAAGGGAAGACTGCAGCGATAAGAGAGAATTGCTCACTACTATAATAACAATTCCTGCATCCTTTGATGGCAGCTGCCAACGACGTTACCACCTGGTATCAAAACGATATACCATTGATATTGTCACTGTCTACGTCAGCTGCATCTTTTTTACGCCTTTCTTACATTCTGTGACGTCGACTTTGACGCCGGCAGCGGCAGCGGCAGCAGCAGCAGCAGTATCTGCTGCTATCGCAACGTTTGTTGCGCTGCTCGGCTTTATGTAGGGCATGTCTGTTAATAAATTTTCGCGCGACTTAGAACAAACGTAATATTCATACATACATATGCACTTATTTAGGTTTGCCCGGAATTTAGAGATAATTAACTGCCCAGACAACAATAGTTGTGATTCGCACAGGTGAACGCAACTGT